GAGTCACATGTGACTCATTTTTGTGTACAATTGTGTGTGACGTTCTTCAGCATATTAGAGCAAAAAACCTGTGGACGTGGGGCATTAACAAAATGCATTGTATGAGGACAGGGAAGTTGTTAAGGTAAACTTAAAGGGATTGATATCTTTCGTATGCCTAGCGCGCAGACGGGATTTTATAATTTCATAGTTTTAAACGGCCTAAATACCATAACTCGCTTAAAAAATAACGAGCTATAACGAAATGGGCACAGAAATAAAATCTAACATCATTAAATTATTTTGCATATTTGTATAAAAGCGCGGGGTGAAATCCGCGGGTATAAGCTAGTTAGTATATATATATATGTATATAAGAGTTTCAAGTGCAAATATTAAGAAGTGTTTGGGTAGTACATGATACAATTAGTTAATTAATTGTACCATGATTCATATCTATACATATGTATGTACGTACATGAAGGAAAATACCTTACACATGTAATGACAATCTGGGTGCATTCCAAAGTGTCAAAATACAAAGCATCAGTCTCTTTTATTTCTAAACCACACTAGAAGAAAGTTTAACTTGCGCAAGCTTGTTGAAAACTAGCATCTAACCGTGGTTGCGTACATTTTCCATTAAAATATACTGAGTTTTAGAAATAAAAAAAAACTGATGCATTGTATTTTGACGTTTTGGAATTCACCCTCTATCAAAACATAGTTCATTGGTTTTTAATGTTTTATAAAGAGGAACATAAGAAACTATATATCGTCACTACACATGAATAAAGGCGCGCTAGTGTTTTGACGGCGAAAAAAGCGCGTAAAAAAATTTTGCGAAAAAAGATGCTTATGAAAAACTTCTGCGAAGTATGTTAAGAGTCTTTGACGCTGAAGTTTTTTTATGCGTCTTTTTTCGCCGTCAACTTTTGAGCTCGCGCCTTTATTCGTGTCTAGTGACGATATTATTATTCAACGATATGAATTTTCATTTTTAATTAAAACTATAGTTCGACCTATAACAGAAACCTCATAAGTAAAAGTTTCAAAGCTTAAATAAAGTTCACAAAAATTAATGAAATTTCAAAAAATTGCATGAAATTTTAAAAGTTAATTAATTTTTGTGAACTTTATGTAAACTTTGAAACTTTTACTTATGGGTTTCTGTTATAGGTCGAACCACAGTATAATAACGAGAAAAACAAAATTCTAAGCAAATCAAGCGTGAAGCGTAAGCGATTATAACCGGATGCAGTTCCTGCATAAGTCAAACCGTGTTCCGAACACAACTTTGAGTGAGTAATGGTGGGCTGACTTTTTAAAATGGTTCCTTAAGGTAGCTTAAGGTAGAACTCTCTAATTTTCAAATGCGCGAAATTTGTATGTATTTGTTCAGCCGCTTATTCACATTTGAAAGAGGATAATACATGGTTAATGCAAGTAAAGACGGTTTATGCAGATAAGCAAGCGCGTTTTTTAACTAAAGTCGGTGTCGAAGTTGCCTTTTGTATAAGTTACGTTAGTGTTAAACTTTGGCGAAATCTGCCAATAACCACGCCCACTTCCCACGAAGTAATTAAAAATATTTTTGTTTTATTAGTATTTTTTACGAATTTTGCTGTTCAAATTTACATGTCAAATATATCAACAAACATTTGTGGTTACTTTTGCATCAGTCGCTGCCTATGGGTTAATGACAAATAAATCCTATACATTCACAATATTTCATGTATTAATTTTCAAATAAGCATATTGTCAACGGCTGGTTTACTGTATACTGTGAGGTCGAACTATAGTTTTAATTAAAAATTAAAATTATTAAGAATAAAGCTGATGCCACATAAAACGTTTGCTTCGCTTTACGTGACAGATTCGCTTTGACAGCTAAGATGAATTGTATGAAAATGCACAAAGCATGCCACATAGATCATTGAAGCTACAGCGCGAAGCGAAAAGATGGCCAACTGCCATCTTTTTGCGCGCTTTGACAATCAGCCGGTTTAATATTTATTTTGTTTCGTCCAAATTCGAGTATTCATGCTGAAACATAAAACTCAATTACATTGCTGATAATTTTAAAGCAAAATATCTAAAATCCACAGCAATTTTGGCGAGTAAAAAAGCAGTGCAAAATTGATTTCTTGGCGTTCATTGTGGCATACCTTTTGCGTCTGGCGCTTTGCTGGCAAAGTTATAAATGTCACGCAAAGCTAAAAAGTTTTATCTGGCATCAGCTTAAATAAATAAACATGAGTTGCACACAATACCATTCGGAATTTTGGTGCTACAAACGTCTCTGTTGTTTGACTCTCTGGCTGTGAGGTTGGAAGAGCCCCCATTCTCAATACTTTTATTCGTCTTTCCGCCAAATAGTTATTCATGTCAGCCTTCGATGAAACCGCCTCTTCCAATGGCAAACTTCGCAGTTGATTCGCCATATGGCTTCCAAAAACATCGACCTCGTCCGCCGCATTGTTCTTCGAAATATTTTCCAGCTTATTAAAAGCTTGGAGAATCGGTTCCACTTCTTGTTGTTTCTGTGTTGCCTTTTTAAGCCTTTTAGCTTGCGAACCCGATGGTACTTCATCGAAATAAGATGCCTCGCTTTCCCTGCTATTCACCTGCAACAAAAAAAGATTGTATTATTTTCGTTTCAGGTTCCAAACACAACCGAACTATGGTTAAAAGTCCAAAAAGATTTTAATGACTACTGGCAGTTCCCCTTCTGTTGCGGTGCTCTCGACGGGAAGCATGTCGTAGTAGAGTATCCACCACATGGAGCATCGGATTTCTATAACTATAAAGGCACTTACAGCATTGTATTATTCGCCACCGTTGATGCACATTACCGCTTTTTATACATAGATGTCGGTACAAATGGTCGTATGAATGACGCGAGCATTTTCAGAAAATCTAAATTTTACGAAGCGATAAAAGAAAATAATTTGTAATTATTTTCCGTGGGCCAAGGTTAAAAATTCAATGCTATTGGGTTTGGAGCTTTTTGGCCGGTTAAATTGAATAAAACAAGTGTTTACTTCTTCTCCTACGCGTTTCGACGCATATTCGCGTCTTCTTCAGGGAGTCTATATATTTATAAATACGAAAAACATAATAATAACGAATAATTATTACAAGGAGCAAATAAGACAACACAAAATAATTTAACACTAATTACACTTACTTTAATATTAAGCAATAAAATTATCACAACATAAATTAAACATATTTAAAAACATTAGGACACGTTAAACAACACTGCACATCCTTCATCGTCAAACCTCAGACATTGTGTGTAATTGCAGTCGCATATGCACAGTTTATATTATCTACGTCTTCTTTGAAGTTCATTGCTTCAGTTATTTTTTGTTGTATGCGCAACCCTTCTAATGTCATCCTTCTTCTCGTTCTGTTCTCCACGTCCAAAACCTTTGCATTGTCAAAATCAGCTGTAAGTTTGTTTTCCGTCAGGTGTTGCGCTAATGCTGTGGTACTCTTGTTGTTTTTGGCGTCTAGTTTATGTTCGTTGATTCTCGTTCCAAGCGATCTCTTCATTGTGCCAATGTAAACCTTGCTGCAGTTTTCTCCTTCTTTGCCTTGACATTTTATTTCGTAGACTACATTGTGTAGTTGTTCCTTACCAATTTTATCTTTTGTTTTGGTATAAATGGCTTGGATAGTGTGATGTGATTTATGTGCATAACTTACGTTGTTGTTTTTAATAATTTTGCGTAGTGTTTTGTTGTCCGTAAGTTTAGGTATATATGTGACGCCTGTGTATATTTTGCAATTGTCTTCCTTTGTTTTTGTATTGCCACTTTTACATGTGATTTTGTTTGCTGCTGCTGTTAGTAAGCTTTCAATTATTTTGTTAGGATACCCGTTTTTGCATAGTATGCTTCTTATTTTTCTCTTGTTCTGATCCATGAACTCCTGGTCACTCAAGGAGTTAACTTTGTTTATAAAATTTATAGCCGTGTTTCTCTTTTGAGTCCATGGGTGGTTGGAATGGTAGTTGATCATCCTTGAGGATGCTACGGCTTTGGTGTACCAATTAGTTTTTAGTTTGTTTTTATTTTCATATATTTCTATGTCTAAGAAGTCTAATTTGTTATCTTTTTCTTTCTCCAGAGTGAATTGTATTTTTGTATGTTGTCTATTAAATATTCTTAAAATCTCTTCCACGTCCTTCATCTTAACTACGGCGAATATATCATCTACATATTTGGTTATGTATTTGATATATATGTCAGTGGATCTTAGCTCAATAATTCTGTCGTCAATAATTTTGTCTAAAACTATGGCGATAGAGGATTACCCATCGGCATACCATAAACTTGCTGGTAGTAAGTTCCATCGTACACAAAGTAATTATTTTCCCTCAGACAAAATTCTAATATCGTTAGAAATTGCTTTTTTATGATAATTGTGTGTTTTTGCAGACTCGACCACTGCTTCATTATTGTGTTGATTGCAAAGTGAATGGGTATATTTGTAAAGAGGGAAACGACGTCCAAGGATATGAGAATTTCATCATCATCAATATGCAGATCCTTTATACTTTCTTTCAGAATTAATGAGTTTCTTATATTAAATTTCTCGGAGACGATATTTTTTAGTATTTGTCCTATGTATTTAGATAGTCCGGAGCATGGTACATTTATTGAGGATGAAATTGGTCGAAGTAGTATGTTTCTTTTGTGTACTTTTGGTAGACCATACAGTCTAGGTGCTGTCGCTGCTGTGCATGTCAAGTGATGTTTCAGTTTTAAATCGATGTTTTTATTCTTGTAGAGGTCATTCACAATATTCAGGGGTGTTACAGATTCTGATTGTTATCGGAATCAGAATTGAAATCGACAAAAGTTTGGTTTTGGTGTTACAAATTCTGATTTTATCGGTTTCATGTTCGAATCAGATTTGATATCGATTTTAGGTGTTACAGAAACCGACTAATCGGTTTACTTGTCAGAACTAAACCGATACGTTTTGTGCTGACAGAATTATTTATTTAGTGCGCAATTAAGTCGTGTTTCATCCTTGGTCGTGTGTTGTGTGCCAATTTTTAAATTACTGGAAAGTGGTAAAATGTACGTTGCACAAGAATAGATAAATGAAATAGATCTTACTTTATAAGTTGTTTTTATTTATACTTAACTAGGGGAAACCATAAGAGCCAGGACCAAATTATTCTTCTGATCCAATTTATGGAAGAAAACCCAGATTTAGCTAAGGGATTTTCAAAACGGGATAAGTCCCTCGTAAGCTCGTTGTGGCAGGAATTGACCGATACGTTAAACGCCGCAGGTCCACCAACAAAAGATGTAAATGGGTGGAAAAAAGTAATAAGCTCGAAAATCGAATCTTAAATTTATTCTAACGGTATATTCATTGGTCTTCTCGAGGTATGGACTGAGTGCAAAAGCGAAGTTAAGAAGAAATTGGCACACAATACAAGTGAATCGCGAGCAACTGGTGGTGGACCTTTCACAAAACATACATTGACCGAATCAGACGAAGCCATTGTCCGAATATGTGGAATGACGCGGGCGGTAGAGGGCGTGCCGGGGGTATCATTAGGTCAGATCCTTGAGCCAGGCGATGAACTTAGCGGCGACATTCCTACGACATCGTCAAAGAGGAGGGCCGAGACTCCACACGTTCCCAACACTCCAAAGAAACTTAAGCCGGAAGTTTCGCAGCGGCTGACATCATTTTTAGATGAGGACACTGAAAACAAAAAAGGCTTAAATAGTATGATAGGTGAACTAATAAAAGTAGAAAAGGAAAACGCTAGCAATAAAAGAAGAGTATATAAAGCAATAGAAAAAGGTACTGAATCGTTTCAAAGGACAGCAACAGAATTTAAAAATGAACTGCGTAACGTTAGTGTCCGCATGTTAACTGCCATGCAGGAGAAAAATGAATTAAAACAAAAACAGCTAGATCTGGAAATTTTAAAACTAGACCATCAAACGAAAAGAAATTAGTGTTTTGCGACAAACATGAAGAGTTTTTTTGTTCAAATAAATGAATTTTGAAGTATTTTTTTATACAAATAAATGAAATGTGATAATTTTGAGTTTACAATAAAACTTTTTATTAAATTATTCTTAAATATTTTTATTGAAGGTTGGCTGCTATTTCATCCCTTATTCTTCGTCCCTCATTTTGTAATGACAAGGTAGGGAACGCCTCACTATTATCAAGAAATGATTCGGGCGATTCCAAAACATTCTCCCCAGGAAAAGGTTCGGTCGATTCCAAAACATTCTCACCATGTTGTATTTTATAATGCCTACAAATGTTGTGGAGTGCACAACACGCATTTATAATTTGAACCACTTTTTGTGGGCTATAATGCAGCGTTCTGATCAAGCAGCAGAAGCGGCTTTTTAACACTCCAATTGTTCTCTCGACAATATTCCTCGCTGAGGAGTGTGCCATACTGAATTTATATTCGCGGGAGTTATATTGTGGATCTCTATACGGCGTTAAAAGGAATTGTTCAATGGGATAGCCGCCGTCTCCTAACAGCCTGTTGTTTTTTTCGGCGGCCTCATATTGGCTTAGATAAAATAGTCGAGCGCTGCTTATATTCCAGATAAAAGAGTCGTGGCTTGAACCAGGATATCTTGCATCAACCGCTCGAATTAACATATCGTTATCACCAATCTTCGAAAATAAAAATAAAAATATAAAAAGGTAATAGATGTACCTACACATTTTACTTTTTTAACTTACAATCATCGCATTCATGCTGAAATACCCTTTCCGATTAAAATATAAATGCCCATCAACCGAGGGGTGTACAATTTTTACGTGCGTTCCATCAATGCATCCAGTAATGCCTGGAATGCGGTATTTTGTGTAGAAATATTCCCTTGCCCTTCGTTTTTCGTTGTCGTTCATTTCAAGTTTAACCCAGCGTCTGCAAATTGACTGTTCTAGCGCTTTCAGCACTTCCCTTATCACCACCGACACCGTGCTCCTCGCTAAGCATACGCTCAAATCGTTACCCACAGATCTTTGATAAGATCCCTCAGCGAAAAATCTTAAAGCCGCTGCAAGTTGCAGCACCGGAGAAATGGATAACCAATCTAGCTTGCATTTTATTACGTCTAACACCATTACAAAAGCTTCCTTATTAAGGCGATATTGGTCAATAAACCTGCAAAATTGTAGACGTTTGTTAATAAAGCAGTAAATGTGAGATCTACGGCGAATGCACTTACGTTGCCTCTGGCTCTTTCGCTGTTTTTTTTGAGTGGATTCCCTAGTGCTATTCATTAAAAGAAACACTATCACCGCAGAGGTCATATTTGTTCACTTTTCAATTTAATTTCTTACTTCACAATAAACAAAACAGCTGATTCGAATATCGGTTTTGCTATCTTCGAAAAAAGTAAAATCAAGTCGGTTTCATAACACCATTTCAACCCGATATCGGTTTCAAATTTCGACAATCTGAGATTCCGATATCTTTTTTGTAACATCTCTGATTATTATTCTTTCTCATCAATTTTTGGGTGGGGTCAGTTCTAATAGTTTTATATGTAAGCTTGTCACTGATGAGGTCTTTCATTCTTTCTTTATAATCTTCCTTGTACATCACCACTGTCCTTTATCTGCGTTCGTAATAATTATGGAATCCTTATGTTGCTTGATAAATCGTCGTGTTTCTTCGTAAATTTGAAGTATAAATTTCTCTTTTGGACTGTTTATTAACTTATTTTTAAATGTGTTAACTTTGGTCGCAAATTTGCATCTCACCATATCTTTTTCTCTGTTATCCTCCATAGTTTGTATGCTTTGTTCGATGTCGGCTATTAAATGCAATGGTGAAAATGTTTTCCTAGAAACTGGCAGAGCGAACTTGTTCCCCAAAGAAAGCAACCATCTGCACTCGACAGGAATGGCGATTTTGGTGTTATTTGTAAACCAATCCTCATTACGTCTCAATTCAAATTTTTCAAAGTTTTCGTTAATTGAATTTTGTAGTTTTCTATTAAGAGTCCCTTCTGTTTTGTTTTTGGTATGCTTTAGAAATTGGTTTTGTGTTTCGACTACTGAATTGTATTCATTATGTTCCAGAATTTCGCGTAATTTTTTCTTAATTTGTCTTATGGCGTCATTAACGATTTTTATTTGTATATTAGCCTCTTTTATCTCCAAACTGAGAATTTTAGTTAAGAACTGTTTTTCAATCTTTAGCATTTCCTTCCTAGTTTTGTCGAGTTTGAAACCCTGTATAATTTTGCTGGTCTTTCCCTTTAGATGTGGTGGTAGAATTCCAAAGTCTTTACATTTCAGTAGAAATTTAAGCCGTTGTTGTTTTTTCGCAAGTATTTTGTGGTTTTTGCCGTATTGTTTGATGGTGTAACAGGTGTCCATGTCGTACTTATATTTAATAAGTTGAAAAAAGTGTTTCATTGTGCTGCTTTGTGTTTTTCGTATTTGTTGTTTCGGTTTAGCTCTCCGATCAATTTAGAATTATTTTCCGTGGGCCAAGGTTAAAAATTCAATGCTATTGGGTTTGGAGCTTTTTGGCCGGTTATATTGAATAAAACAAGTGTTTACTTCTTCTCCTACGCGTTTCGACGCATATGTTTAATTTATGTTGTGATAATTTTATTGCTTAATATTAAAGTAAGTGTAATTAGTGTTAAACTATTTTGTATTGTCTTATTTGCTCCTTGTAATAATTATTCGTTATTATTATGTTTTCCGTATTTATAAATGTATAGACTCCCTGAAGAAGACGCGAATATGCGTCGAAACGCGTAGGAGAAGAAGTAAACACTTGTTTTATTCAATATAACCGGCCAAAAAGCTGAACATAATTTGTGTCTACCAAATAAAGGTGTTTTTGTTGGCGATGACGCATTTTCCCCATCAAGTAGAATTATGAAGCCTTATTCCAGACATGAAGCAGGCAGATCGGCAAAGGAACTTCGTGACAAATTTGCAAACTATTTTGTCAGTGACGGAGCAGTCGATTGGCAAGATAAAATGATTCCATGAAATTTTTTTTATGACTTGTATTGAAGTTTTTTTTAAAACTTAAAATACAGTGGTGGAAAAATTAATAGGGACACGACATTTTAAAAAATTTTGCCTATTTTTGTTTTGTTTGTTTAATATTTCTTATTTTTAATAAAAGTGTAGTTAATCATTTAACAAAAATCGTATAATTTCTTTATCAGATTTTGTAGAATTCAGATGCAATTTTGCAGAATTTTTATAGTTTTTAAGAAAGTTTGAAATATTAAATTATATGGTTTTTTTTTTTTAACTGATAAACTACACTTTTATTCAAAATAAGAAATATTAAACAAACAAAACAAAAATAGGCAAAATATTATTAAATTTTCCACCACTGTATTGACTGCTGAGTCGAAGATCGACCTTTGTGGAAACAAAGGAAAATTTAATACATTTTCTAACAAGTTTTTAACTTTTTCAGATTTTTTAGATTTTTTTTTGTACGCAGTTGTGTAACCAACTAAATTTTACTTTAACAAAGTGCAAGTTTGAAGTAGATAGGACTGGCGGTTGATCTGTGGCAATTTTTTCAAGTATTTTCTTTAAGTAACTTCAAACTTGCACTTCATTAAACTAAAATTTTTGTGGCTACAAAAGTACGTACTCAAAAAAAAATCTACAAAATCTGAAAAAGTTAAAAACTTGCTAGAAAATGTATTAAATTTTCCTGAATTTTTCGCAAAGTTTAGAAAGTATACTTTTATGATTTTAGTTGTAGTATGAACCATAATTTTTTAATAAAAAATTTCGAAAAAAGTTTTTCGCGTAAAACCTTGTGGAAATTGTATAAAATAAATATGAGCTATTTACGTAAGAGCCACTGTATATTATGCAAAATTTTCACTGCTAATACTTTTTGCGAAAATTCGATTGTGTTAAATGCAACTGGGTTTGTGTAAATTTTTTTATTACTAGCACTTAATGAGCATACTGTGAGCTTTTGTTGATGAACTTGATATATTTATTTGTTTTGGAAACTTAGGGTTTTGAGGGTCTTTATAAACTACATATCCATATATAACTAGAAGTGTAATCACAATCCGATACATATGGCCTTTTATGTGCAAAGGCACTGCCATGTTTTATACCAAATGACCAACGTATCATAGCAGCTTTCATTATTCAGTCCAAAATTTTTTAAAGCCAACTGCATATTTATAAAGAAAACTCTCACGGTGTTTTTTACATAACGTTTAAAATAATAGATCCTGTACTTTGATTCGTTCCACTACGTCAAGGTCATTGTAAAGCTCATACAGCTCATTATTCCATCAACTGCGGTATCCAAACTAATCTTATTTTTCTTGGTGTATACAATTTGATTGGAACTCAATTAGAGAATGCAGATAAAGCCAAATGTTTCGTTCATCTGGAGACTCATTAAGTGTTGAATTCTATTTATTTCAATATTCTTAATTTTTCATTCATGTATGTAACCATCACCTCGCCTGTGTGAAATCATATCGTCACCCTCATGCCAGAAGCATGAATGTGCAAATTTATCAGTTTTGAGTTATTGGGTTGACTTGATTAAAGTTTGGATGTTCTATATTATACCAAAACCCAGAATACCATGCGCACACGGAAAACTGATATTTTACAATTTTAATTGCATAAATGTAGAGCTTAAATCAAACTTGATTTCCCAAAATTTTGGGAAATGTTTAGTTATTTGTACAACAATTTTGGTGTAGGGGGCGAAGGGGGAGTGGATGTGGCCCCCCAAACTCCCCCTAAACGAACGAGGATGAACCGAGCTTAATGAAAGGTCACTAAGTAGAATTCTTTCTGTCTTGCCGAAGAAGAGGGGCTGAACACCTTTTGCAAAGATATTTCGTGGATATTTTTTGTGTTTGACAGTAGAGCTCGGAAAAATACCATATTTCAAACCGAAATTATTAATAAATTAGCGCACATATATATCAATTCTTTTTAACCGACTTCCAAAAAAGGAGGAGGTTATCAGTTCGTCGGAATATATTATTTTTTTGTTTTTTTTTTATGTATGTATGTTACCGCATAACTTTGGAACACGTCAACCGATTTCGATAATTCTTTTTGCATCGAAAAGGTAGTGTCTCAGAGGTGGTCTCGTACTAATCCTTTTAAGATCCGATCAGTGGATCATGAGATATATATATATATATATATTTTTTTTTATATGGGAGTTGAAGTCGGTTTTTTTTGCTACAAATTACTTGTTGTTTTAAATAAAGCGTAGACTCTTTTCTATAAGTGCGTGTAACGTTTTTTTTGACGATTGGATAATAAAATAAACCCCCACTACCGTTCAAAAGGTAAACTAATGTAATCTTACTTGTAAATTTGTTTTCGCGGGCCTCCCTTCGATAACAGGTCTCGAAAACCGGTCCGCCGCTTCGTACCAAGCCACCTCAGGGACATACTTTATCTTTATCTTTAAATCTTACTAATATTTTAAACGTGAAACTTTGTATGTTTGGGATATCATCACGCGGAAACGACTGCACGGATTTGCATGAAATTATGTACGCAGATAGCTTAAGGGCCAGATTGGTTAATAGGCTATTTTTTAAGAGTTGAAAGATGTTCTCTGCAAAAGGTGTTCAGCTCCTTTTCTTCGCAAAACAGAAAGGAGAATTCTACTGC